AAAAAAAAAAAAAAAAGGGGGCGGGGGGAGCACATAATCAAACCTGGGGACATGCACAGGTCAACAGTGGTTAAAAGAGCTGAGCATAGTGGCTCACACCTGTAATCTTTTGGAGACTTGAGTCCAGGAGTTTGAGACTAGCCTGGACGACATAGCAAGACCTCGTCTCCACAAAAACAAAAATAAGAAAATTAGCTGGCATGGTGGCACGTGCCTGTAATCCCAGCTACTGAGGGGGCTGAGGCAGAAGGATCGCCTGAGTCCAGTACGTGGAAGCCATGAGCATGCCACCGCACTCCAGCCTGGGCAACAACAACAAAAAGTGGTTAAAAGGAAGTGTCCTCAGAGAAGTTTTCTGAAAGGAACAGGGTTTGTATGACAGTGCTCTTGTGATATTTCTCTCCTGAGCTTTCTTGTTATCTGTTCATATTCATGGCTTAGTGCGAGTCCTGACCTCACTTCTGAATTGACGTCTCAGCTCCAATCTCCCATGACACCTGCTTTTAATGTTTCTCGTGAAAAGGACTAGATACACTAAGGGCAGGAATAGTCTTTTATTAACATTCCTGTGCCTTAGTTTCCCTCCCAGCAAGGTGTTGTGAGGAGTAAGTAAATAAGTGAACAGCACATGCGATGTTATTTGGAACAGTTCCCGGCACAGAGGAGGTTCTCAGAGACTATTAGGTATTATCTTTTTTTTTTTTTTTTTTTTGCGTCGGATTCTCACTCTGTTGCCCTGGCTGGAATATAGTGGCATCTCATGGCCACCGCAGCCTCGACCTTCTGGGTTCAGGTGATCCTTCTGCCTCAGCCTTCCAAGTAGCCGGAACTACAGGTGTGTGCCACCACGCCCGGCTATAGATATTATCTTGATAACGGTTGTGTTTATTTTCCATGCCTGGCGGAGTCTGTGTTCAATACCCGATTGTAGGATGAATGAACGATGGGGAAGATGAAGAGACCCAAAGCGGCACTGGGTAGCTCCGACCAAGCCCAAACAAGGGCAGGAGGCCCTGCGTTGGGAGGATTTGTGTGTTTATTCCAGGCATGGACTGAGCAGCTGTGGGACCCACAGGCTGTGTGTAGCCACAAGGCCGAGTCTCCCATGGCTGGTGCCTGCGGGTCAGCCTGGCCTCTGATTGCGACGTGACTCTCCAGCAGGGAAGGATGTGTGATCCGCTGACTGGGGTATTACTTTTCATTGTAAATGAGTAAAGTGACATCAGTATCCTGTGAGTATGCGGCATGCGAGTCATCCTGAGACTGAAAGCCTGGGCTCACCCTCCCCGCAGTGCTAAAGAGCAGGGCACAGGACTGTCATTCTGTGTCCCAGGGAGGCCACGTCTCTCCAGGACATCTCTCCACCTTACCCCATACCACACACACACACACACACACACACACACACACACACACACAC